CAGTAGAGTCCGCCTAGTTTCACTTGGAAAGGATAAATAAACAGATAAGGTAGAAAAAAGAAAGAAGAAAGAGGAAGGGAAAAGAAAAGGAGGGAGGAGAGGAAGGGAAGAAGAAGAGAAAGAAGAGGAGGAAGAAAGAAGGGAAGAGAAAAGGAGAGAGGGAGGAAAGAGAAGGGACAAACGTAGCAATGCAGGATGTTCAGCCACGGAGCGTCCAGATGTTTTCTCCAGGATGAGATGAGACAGGTCTTGGAGGTAGAGAAGCAGCAGCTGGTCCTTCACCTCCAAGAAACTGAGACCCTGAGGATGAGGGAAAGTGAAGACTATCGATTTGAGAGGAAATACAGTAAAGGATTTCTAGTACTGAGATTTGAAGTAGCAAAAGAGGATTAAGCATGTTTTGATTATAAATTGTACATCCTGAAATAAAGATCCAGACAGAGAGGAAGGAAGGAAGGAGTAGGGAAGCCACGTTGAGGCTCACCATGGGCCTTGCACACTTGCCGGGCAATGCCTCCTCCGAGCGGCTCAAAGTTATCGCTTGCAGAACTCATGGAGTGTGGTGTCCTTTGCCCACATAGGATGGCTGGTGCTTCCTTGGTGGAAGGAGACTTCTCCCTCCCTCCCTCGCTCGCTCCCTCCGCACTGACCCTCTCCCTCTGCTCCTTGCCTTGCAGGGAAGCCCATGGAGTCCCCGCCCTGACAGGAAGAGGCTCGGGAGGCGCACCATGCCCGGGACGTGGCTGCTGCTCTGCCTGGCTCTGCTCTGCGGAAGCACGCACCTCGTGGCCCCTTCCCAGAGGCAGAAGAGCCGGCAGGGCCTAGGGAGGCAGAGGACGAAGAGGCCCCAAAGCTGCTTCGCCCGCCGCCTCCCCCCCCCCCCTTCTCCTGCGTCGGGATGAGGCCAGACCCCTTCCTGAAGGCAGGAGAAGAGCCGGCTGGGCCCAGGGAGGAGGAGGAGGAGGAAGCGGTCCCGAAGCTGCTGCACCCGCCGCCTCCCCCCCCCCTTCTCCACACCCCGCGGGCCGGATAAATGCCCTCGGGAGGCCGGATTCGGCCCCCGGGCCTTAGTTTGGGGACCCCTGGTCTAGAGTATCTCTCTGTTCTGAGAGTCTAATAGAGTCTCTAAAGCAGTGGTTCCCAACCTGTGTGTCCCCAGGTGTTTTGGCCTACAACTCCCAGAAACCCCAGCCACTTTACCCATTGTTAGGATTTCTGGGAGTGGAAGGCCAAAACATCTGGGGACACACAGGTTGAGAACCACTGCTCTAAAGCATTCTGTTTCCACTGACTTCTAAAAGCATGCTGTTTCTACATGGAAAGTCCAATGGCTTCTGCCTCTACTGGCTTCTGAAAGCATAAGTAAGAAAATAAATAAACTGTTTTGTGTTCTCCTCTGTTGTTGCTTGCTACTTGAATGTTAAAAATACAGAGCATTTGTTATAGCTTTGTAACTCTATGCATCACTGCATGGGACCGTTTAGAATTGTGGTCCAAAAAAGCAACAGTAATCCCTCACTACTTCACTGTTCGCTTTTCATGGACTCGCTATTTTGTAGTTTTTCAATAAATATTAATGTCGAATATTTATCATGGTATTTTTCTGTTTCACGGGTTTTTGCGGTACTTGACCATCAGCATCAACTGGTTCTCCCACCAAATCAGGCAAATTCACTGCCAGCAAGGGCTGGTTTGATAAATTTCGGAAGTGCTATGGACTTAAGAGCGTTTGTCTGTATGGAGAGGCTGCCTCTGCGGAGAAAGCCGGAGCCGAGGGTTACGTGAACAACATGTTCAAGGAAGGCTGTGTAGTGTTTAAGTGTGTGGGGAGGGTTTATAAAGACTTAAAATAGTGTATAACTACTAAAATAATGTATAAATATTAAAATAAATACTGCTTCACAGATTTTCACTTTTCACGGGTGGTCCTGGAATGTAACACCCACAATAAGTGAGGGAACACTGCAAATAGCATTACAAATTCCAAACGGATATGATCTTACATCCGAACACAAACAATACCTTTTTCAACTAACCCAYGCATCACCTGGGTTATATGTGACTGTGGTGCCCATTTACACAGACAAGCTCCCYCCTCCACAAACAGCTATAGTTCCCACTGRCAGGAYAKACCAATGGVCCTCCCTCCAATGACATTGSAGGTTAGAGCGAGTGCCATGAACATGTCCAAGAACCCTYCCAWTGTCCTCCACAAACACCATACTMCCCACTACCCAAGGYAAGGATTTTATGTGTTTCCTCCATCACAGACATCCCAGTGTTCCTTTCTCTCTCCATTGGTGTGGAATTTGCATGACCCTGTCCACGGCCTCTCCTATAACTCGTCCCTACTCTTTTCTATGACACAAACAGAGGAGTTAATCAGCAATTGAATATACTGGAAGGGTTTGGGGGACTGACTCAACCTGATGGAAGTTGTAGTTCGCTCTGCATTAAGACACAGCACTGTGATCCCCACTGATAATGGACCTGGACTCTGCTGCTCTGCTACTCTGCTGCTGAGTATGCGTGCCCAGCGTGGAACACATCTCGCCACGCTAATGTGGCTCTTAATGAGACATGCCGCATTATCACGGTGTGTCTGCGCCCTACACCACTGGAGAAATTACACTGTTTAGCAATTACATTGCACCACCTGACATCCACCGGGAAGAAGCAGCCAATAGTGAAAGGACCAAGGCAGAGACATCTCCAGCTCATCCCTTGTTTGGGTATCAGCCAGCACGCAATGACTTAAATCAAGAAATAGTTTTCTAAGATCTACAGAGACACTTGCTGGAACACCTCAGCAAGCGAGAGTCCAAAAGTGGCAGGCTCAAACCCAGAACCTCAATCAATGGCTGATACCAAATGAGAGACTCCCCCCTGGGCACACAGAAACTGGGCGACTTGGAAGGTGCTGAACAGACTGCGCTCTGGCACCACGAGATGCAGAGCCAACCTTCAGAAATGGGCCCACAAAGTGGAATCCACGACATGCGAGTGTGAGAAGAGCAAACCACAGACCACCTGCTGCAATGCAACCTGAGCCCTGCCACATGCACAAGGGAGGACTTTCTTGCAGCAACACCAGAGGCACTCCAAGGGGCCAGATACTGGTCAAAAGACATTTAATAGAATAGCAAGTCTGCAAATGTTGTGCTTTGTTTGTTTGTTTGTTTGTTTGTCTGTTTTTAATGCAATACAACTGGTTTGGTTCGCTCCTGATATGATACATAAAAATAATAAATGGACCTGGACCAAATTTGGCACGCAGAACCCCCATGACCAGGTCTG